GAGGGAGAGAGAGGGAGAGGAAGGGAGGGAGGGAGAGCGGGGCGAGAGAGCAAGAGCGTGTTAGGAGCTCGGAAAGAATTCTTGCAAAGGTCTTTCTTGGCAGCTTAGCTTTCTATACACTAAGCTTTCTTCAGGGAAAGAAAAACTAGTGTAGTACTGTAGTACAACAGTTTGTTTCAGGACTATTCAAAGTTGCAATGGCACTGAAAAATGGGACTTATGATAGTTTTTCATAGTTACAACATTTGCAGCATCCTCGTGACCATGCAGCCGAAACTCAGATGCTTGGCAACTGGTTCCTATTTATGACGGTTGCAGTGTCATAGAGGGAGTCATACGATCACGTTTTACAACCTGCTGACAAGCAAAGGGGTCCTTTGGGAAGCCGGATTCACTGAACAACCAAGTTACTAACTTATCAACGGCAGCGATTCACTTAACTGTGGCAAGACATGTGCATCAGAGTTACTATGTTACTCTGGTAACTCTGCTGTTAACCCCGCTCCTAACCACAATCGTAATTTTAAAAGTGTTTACATTGGGAATTAAATTGGGAATTCCCAAACTGGCTTTACAGTAAAGAGACTTTACACGCTCTTCCATTTAGGTATTTATTTATTTTTGCTTGGGCATACAGTGGCACATGAGAATGATGGCCCCTGAATTTCCCCTACAGAAGTCTTATCATTTTGCACAGATGGACATAATATTAGAACAAATAATAATTAATGTAGAAGAACTCAAGCATTCCAAAAAAAAAAGTTGAATCGGGGGCTACAAAGCTCTGTTTGGCAAGATATAGTGCACAACTGTTCATCCACCACTCATTTGGCAGAGTATACAAACCATTTTCCTTTGTTAGAGTTGGACCCCATTATAGCTGCTGTCTCTTTTGTGCATTCTTGGCTACAAATCATACTTGCACTATCGCCACCAAGTTTAACACAAGGATGTCCATGTAATCTTAAGATTATTTCTCATTTTTCCTTGAGATAGTGGAACTTAAAGCCCAAATTCTTCCAACTGATCTATTTCTGAAATATTCCAAATATTTGCACACCCCAATTTGAAGCTTGAGTAAAAAATTTTTTAAAAAATATCATTTACCTGCTATTTTTTTGCGGCGATTGCTGATCTCCTGTTTGGTTAATATTGGTCAAAGTCACACCATCTGTTGCCTTTTTTTTCTCCCTTCTACTTAGAGAACGGTTCAAATCAGCTGACCAGTCCTATTACAAAGAACCACAAATATGTTTGAAGAAATTGGCAACCAGAAAACATCAGCCACCTTGGCTTGGAAGTGTTATATCTAAATACAATAAGATCTACAAAGCTAGGATAAAATCCCTTCTTAATTCCAGTCCTGCTTTTAATTAAAGATGAATGTCCTCTATTGCGAGAGGTCCTAAAGAGAAGTAACTTATTAACATTACAACGCAACAAAATGAGTTTGAAATATTTTGCTTGGGTCAAAATTACATCCACCCTGTAGGAAAGATCCTGTTTGCTAGGATGATCACCAATGAAAGAGGTAACATATTTTGCCTCTTTAAGCAGTAGTTCAATTTAAGTACTCATCTGAATTGTGCCTATTTTCAGTTTCCAAATTTCTAGCCTACTGAAATTCATGGTTTGTCAATTGAGACACATTATATTAAGGATCCTTTTGATGGCTTAGAACAGGGATGTCAAACTCAAGGCCCGCAGGCCAGATCTGAGCCACGGGGTGCTTAAATCTGGCCCACGGTACCTCTGGCAGCCAAAACGGGGCAGGGGGTCACACATGCCCCCCCCCCATTGTCAGCCTGGATGCCCTCGTGTAGCATTTTGCCAGCAAAAAAAGGGGGGGGCTCAGCCATGCCGTGCCCAGTTTTGGCCGGCAGAGTGCTGTAGAAGGGCATCCAGGCCAAAAATGGGGCATGGAGTGGTCGCACATGGTCCCCTGCACCCTGTTTTGGCCAGAAAAGTGCTGCAGGAAGCCGGTCGGCCCATCTCCCCCCCACTGGCCGGCCCACGGAGAGGAACTACAATGCTGATCTGGCCCTCAAAGAAATACAGTTTGACACCTCTGGGTTAGAATAACAAATGAACGCACTATTTTGCCCCAATGTTTTTCTACATTTCTTTCATATTACCTTAACCCCCATCCTGTACTTCAAATTTTCTCATACAAAACATGAAAGGAAGAGTATTCCCTTAACACACCTGGCATGCACTGAATTATATAAGCAAAACCAAGGACTCAAGTTTTTAAATGAAACTGGCATTGCGTATAATTTGCTGTTGTACTGTTGAAACTGGCATTTCGTATAATTTGCTGTATAACTCTGGCATTTCGTATAATTTAAGATTAGGCATATAAAATGTTTATCTACACATCCTTTGACCTGACATGCCTGTACCACAGCTTCTTCTTCAAAGAGCTGTTTCAAACGATACTGGCAGAAGAGTTAGTTCCCATCTGTTTCCTTTGGGGGTAGATGGCTGGTTTTGGTCTTTAATGTCTTAATCATAAGCCAATCTTATGATTTTGAAAGCCTGCATCTAAACTTAAATAAGTAACTGTATATGAAATATACCATAACAGAAGGAAGTTGAAAAAATATGCCTAAAATTGAATGTGATGCAATGGGTTTTGATGATGATTTATGAAATTTAAATAATAAAATTAAAATATTGTTCTACATAAAGTTAACACTTACTTCATCCTTGTTGCATGAAAAGCAAATAAAATGATTGTTAGAAAAAAATGATATTTTATTGTAAGTCATTTTAAAACTTTTGTTTGTTTTTACAAAAGCTTGCTGTTTATGACATTTGAAATAAATGGAAAAATGCAAAGTACAACATGTGAGATTAAAAGCTATGTCATCCCACTTGTAACAAATACAACAGTATATTAATACTTCACAATTAGATGGCACACAAAACACAATTATTTATTTACAATGTATCCTATGCCTACTAATTAGAATTAAAAATATGCTTGATTTTATCATTAATCAACAATTAACACGATACTCAATTTCTTTTGCATATTATTTTACCAATATCCTCTGCTCAAGTGTATTTCCTCAATCAAATTCTAGATCATTTCATAGATTTGCTGTAACGTCCACATAATTTAAGACTGTAGACTAATTTTATTGATGCCACCAAACAGATTACACTAGGAAAAATACTATATTTACCTGTCAAAATGCTCCAGGTTAAGACAACCTTCTCGCCCCCAAAACCAGCATTAGACAAACAAACCGTTAAAAATACACAAATATCTTGTTCTGTATACCCTGGGTGATTCTTTCTGCTCTCCAAAATAAACTTGTGCTTATAGTATATAAAATAATACATGTAAAGTATCATTCATATCAATTTTGAATCCTGGGAACTTCAAGGCTAAATTTTGTTTTATGCATTTAGGTATTTTAGATTTGTTGAGGCCACTCAATTCCAAAACGAATCTGGGCACACGTTACTATACATTGTATCTACTATAGGTATGTAGTCCTCTGCTTATGATGCCAATAGGAACTGGAATCACTGTCACTAAGCAACGCTGTCATAAAATGCAACACCATGTGATTGCATTGCTCACAGTGATGATCTTCTCCAATTCTATGACTCTGTCTCCGCTGCCACCTGCTGTGATATTTTTTTTATTTCCAAACCTATACCATGAAGTTTCATAAAAGTCTCCCATCCTAAAATTGACCAGGACCAATCCTGCTTATATTTTCAAGTTCAATCAAATTACATTTATCAAAGCTTTAATTAAAAGCCTATTTTGCTTCCTGGATTTGTGGTCCTGGAGAAGAATATGTATGTCTCCATGCCTATGAAGATTCTCAGTCATCCAGATCATGGTTGTCCCAGTGGTGCTTTTTTTTTTTCAAGATGCAACTGGACTTTGTGGTTTTTTCTTTGAAGAAGTCCAAGAAGCTTCTTCAGTTCCAGCTGGGTGGTGGGGAATGGAAGGATTTATTTGCAAAGAGTAGAAATCCTTCCATTCCCCACCATCCAGTCAGAGCTGAAGAAGCTTCTTTGGATGAGAAGCGAAACGTCTTCGAAGAAAAACCAGAAAATCCAGTAGCCTCTTGAAAAAGCACCTTTGGGATATTCTCCCTTCAGTTAGGCACACCTATGCTATTCTTCTAAGAACCAAAAGAAGGCATGTCTTCTCTTATAGGTTTTACAAAAGAAGCTTCAAGCAACTGCAAGAAGGACCACAGGCCAAGTAAAGCATTTACCTCAAACTGGGGCCAGTTCATAGACATGCCAGGTCCATGATTAGCTCTGAACCACCTTAGATCTTCAACAGCATCCGCTGTTTTGATGCTCTGCTCCATGTCACGATAAATATTTGTATAGCTGCAAGAAGAGCATTTTTACAAATCGTTACAGATCCAGTTGGAAGAATGAAGGCAATCTTTAGTTTGCCTAAGGATCATTTTACAAAGTTCATATGAATATCTACGAATAAGGAAATCTCCCTATTTTTTTCTAATACCAAATATCTTCCATTTATTGGGGGGGAGGGAATTGAACAAACATGCCAAGCCAAAAATAAAATACATCTAATTAAAATGTTGTTGGAAGCATCAGAAAAAAGTACATTACTGGTTCAATTTGTGTAGCAAATTTACAATTTTAAAGTTCACCAAAGTACACAGGTCATTCATAAGTATCAACAATATGATTATGCAAAGTTATACAATCACTGACAAGAGGGGCACCCGAGGGAATCTGGTTCAACAGCCTTTTTTTCAGCTCTTGTCTTTCGGTTATTTCGTAACCTCAATTGATCTTTCATATTCTAAATAGAAAGCTAAACAGAACTTCTTTAAAGCAGACCTCACAATGACATTCACAGAAATTAGATATATAGAATACACTAGCCCTGATTGTCAAAACTCAATTGTCTATGCATTGCTAACGGATATCTGATGTTATATATGCCTTACAATGTATGAATGTAAAGGATTCCATTTTGTGATGTGCTGGAGTAATCCATCTTTATATGATTTGAGTTTTGCTCTCTCCTAATTGAAAGTTAGAGTACTTGATCATTTCCAGATTCTTGTTACTGAGACCAAGGAAAAGCCTTTTCAGTTTTTCTTTTGCATATTTTTTAATTTTTCACCTCTTGAGGAAAATTACCATAAATTAGCAAACTTAAGCCATTATTTCTTTAGAACAGATGACAGTTCTAATCATTATGCATTGAGAATTTTACATACATACATACATACAGATGGCGTGTGGGACCTCGTCGAAACGTCACCAAGATACTCTCAATCTTACATGGCAAAAGACCCGAACACGCCAAGACCTGTATATATCTATATGCAGGTCTTGGCGTGTTTGGGTCTTTTCCCATGTAAGATTGAGAGTATCTTGGCAAGATAATCTTACATGGGAAAAGACCCGAACACGCCAAGACCTGCATACCTGTACCCGTGAAAATCTTTTGTTAAAGCTTAGAACTGGCTGCTGATTGCTTGGTCTTATAAGTATTTTCTTACAAAGTTAAGTACAGCAATGTAGTTTTTAAAGTATGTTTATATTGACTTTAATATGCTTACAAAGTAAAATGGTAAGCAGTACAGTGCAAATACTCTAATACTAATATATAGTAGCTCTAGAACTAGGCACGTTTAAAATTCTCTTTTAAGTTTTCATGGCCCAACAAAATAAAGTCAGCGGGTAGTTTTTTTTTACCAAAGGCACATTCTGGGGAAGGACATTCTGTGTAGGTGGCCATCACATGGATTTTCTCAATGGGTGCCTAAATAGGGCCCCTGATCTCATTTTAGAAGCCAGGCAGTTTGATAGAGCAGCGTAGGTGATCCAGCAAAACTGCAGTTTAGGGCTTTAAAAACAAAGAGCTGGCCAGAAGCACAGCAGGTACCAAATGTACAGTGTATTCTTGACAAGTACGGTTAATGTTCAGCTGCATTTGGGAGGGTGGGGGGAAACTGGTGCTTCAAAACCATTTTTGTCAAAAAAGAATGCTACTTCTATCGTGCAGCACCCTGCACTTTAATTCTTACCTTGAAACGGTAGACAAGTCAAGATGTTTCTGAACTTCGAGCAACACTTCTCGGAAGAAACGCAGACGTTTTTCCTCAAACTGTTGGCACTGTTCAAAAACCTGCTCCATGTTTTCCATATACTGAGGGGTAGTACTGTCCAGCTCCTTAAGAGACTTTTCATACTTTTCTTTGGTCTTTAAAAGTTAAGGGTATCAAGTTGTCAATATGGATATATAATTTTCCAATGGCTATATAATTTTCCAATGATATTTTCGTTATTCATCACTCTGCTAAACAAATAATTCCCTCAACACTGTCCAACTATTTACTAAGTCTGTATTCCTATCACTATTACTTCTCCCATCCTTCCTATCCACTCATCTCCTCCCACTTTTGACTGTATGACTGTAACCTTGTTGCTTGTATCCTAATGATTTTTACTGACTGTTTCCTAGTACGATTTGATTGCTTATTGTGCCCTATGACTATTATTAAGTGTTGTACCTGTTCCGACCCAAACCCTTGTCCAATAAAATCAACACGAACCAAAAGGAACAGAAATGATTTTAATGATTTACTAATTTCATGATTTTAATGATTTACTAATTTCATGATTTTAATGATTTACTAATTTCATGATTTTAATGATTTACTAAGTTCATGATTTTAATGATTTACGAATGATTTTAAAGATTCTTATGAATCCCCGGTTAAAAGGCTGCTGCAAACTAATTAACTTTGATAAGCACGAGCCTCGCCAAAACTGTGCCAGGCTGCCAAGAATAACAGATAACGTTACATAGAAATATTTTACAACACAAGAATCTTCAAATACCAACTAAGATACTGCAATGTCCACAAGGCTCGAGTTTCAAAATGTTTTTGCTTCCTGCAAAGAACATCCGATTCCCAGCTGGCTTTTATCTTCTTGAAGGAGAGGCCATTACCTTGCAACCTTACTCCTGAGTCGCCCGTGCTGCTGCAGCTACTCTTTCCTATGAGCAGCCCTGTGCTCACGCGCACTTGGCACAGGCTCCTCGGGAACCTCCTCATCACTGCTGCCAGCCCCCAAAATATCTGAAGGCAGCAATCCACTCCCTAATGGTCCTGGCCCCTCATCTGAGTCCTTGCTCTCCTCAGCCGTCTCTAAGCGGGTGACAGAGTCAGCTTATTGCCCCCAACAATTTGGGTCCTCATTTTACCGACCTCGGAAAGATGGAAGGCTGAGTCAACCTTGAGCCTGGTGAGATTTGAATTGCCAAATTGCAGGCAGCCGTCAGTCAGCAGTATTGCAGGCTTCTTCTGCTGACTGCCGGCTGCCTGCTTGTGTGACTCTACCAGGGAAGTTGCAATTGATTTTCATACGACCTGGGATGTCCATTGCCAAGTAGCTGTATCACAATCACATGACCATGGTGGTGGTGTTGGGATCACCAGAACAAGGTTTTAAGTACCCCTTGTTCAGCAATGCTTGTTCAGGGCTGTCATAACTTTGAATGGTCGCTCATTAACTGAGGACTATCTGTAAGTTAAACAGTGCTCTAACTAAACTAGAAGATAGACTGACATTGGCTTTTGATCTTGTTGAACTGCAGTGATTCACTTAACAACTGTGGCAAGAAAAGTTGTAATTAGGGCAAAATTCACTCAATAAATGTTTCCCTTAGTGACAAAAATTTTGGGCTGAATTGTGGTCCTAAGTCGAGGACTACCTGTATATAACATTTCACTGCATCTTCAAGTTGTAACAAGTTTTCAGTCTGTTTGCAACAATTAACTGCTTTATACTGTTCAGGTTAAGTCATCTATTCTCTCTCTCTCTCTTCTCACATGTCTGTGCAAACACCCATCAAGTGTACAATAACTGAACATGCATGCAACAGCGTTAAGATAAGTGAAATACGGTCCTTTTAGCTTTCCCTGGGATTCATTCATCTTTATTTATGAATCAAAGGTTAGGCACATTTACTATCAAAGGCTTACAAATTCAGCATGACAGAAGTAACGCACAGTTTTCATTAGAAACAAAGATTGTGATGCTTTCAAGAATTCATACCATTTACCTTAAGCACATCCTGTTTACTTTTATCAATTTTATCCTGCAATTTCTTTAGTTGTTCTGGATTCAGCGCTGGGTCTGCTTTGCTATTAGCCTCTCTGGATATGGCAATTTTTTCTTCTTTGCATGCTGTATGATGTGCTTTCTTGGAAGCTTCCACCTATGGAAGAGGCGTTTTAACAAATGTAAAAACCACAACAACACCACTACCACCACCCATAGCAAGTTTCAAGGTAAATACTGTTACAATTAGAGGAAACGTATCTTGGAAATGATTACAGTGTTTTAGAACTTGTTGATCATAAAGTTACAACCTTGAGAAAATGATGGTTATAAGGAAGTTTAGAAGTAACAGAACCTCTGCCAGAACCTCAGATCACCTCTTCTCACATGGAAGCAATGCTTTTCATGCAACCTGTGCAAGATCCTCCCACCCCTGATTGCTATACTGATGTCTTAAAGAAGACTCTGTAGAGCAAGGGTGTCAAATTGAAGACCTGTGAGCTGCATCCAGCCCACGGAGTGCTTAGATCTGGCCTGCGTGGCTAACCTGGAAACAGTGAAGGCCAGCCCGCAGTGCCTCTGCTAGCAAAAATGGAGTCTGAGGAGGCACTCCGTGTGGCCCTCCCGGGCTCCATTTTCAGCCAAGATTGCCCCCTGTAGCCCTCTGCCAATGAAAATGGAGCCAGTTACATTGAGCTGGCCACGCTCCCCCTCGTGGCCCTGAATAAAATTGAGTTTGACACCCCTGCTGCAGAGGAAAACTTTCTATAGAATAAGTAGTGTTACTGACTTTATATTAACATTCACAGCTTCCTTGGTTTATTAATCCTGATTTTATTAGCACGTTTTATGGTATGATGCCTTATCTCAGTGATGGCTAACCTATGACACGCGTGTCACTCGTGACACGCCGAGGCACTTTGACTGACACGCCTGTTGGTGTGGGGAAAACCTGCACATTTAGAGGCTGCCTGTGCTCTGCTCCAATCCCTGCTCCCTGCTTGTTGCGTGGAGGCGTGGTGTCACCGCTGCCGCAAGATCTTTGCAGCAGAGAACCAGTTTTAACCGCCATAAACTGAGGTTTGTCAGTTTCATTACCTCAGGAACGCTACAGGAGGAAAGGAGATCCATGAGGTTCACAGCCCTGTAAGGTGGCCTTCCGATCCCCACATCCTGCACCTGCAGCCCTGAGACCAGGGAGACGAGTTTCACAGCCCTGTGTGATCACCCCAGTCCAGTCCGTCATAAACCAAATTATTGATATTTCTTGAAGTGACACACGACCCGAGGAAGGCTACACTTTTTCCCGATTTTCGACACATCAAGCTGAAAAGGTTAGCCATCACTGCCTTATCTTGTCTATGGAGATTCTCAGTCATCCAGGTCTCAAAGGTGCGTTTTGTTTTTCTTCAAAAGGCAACCGGACTGGTTTTTTTTTTTTTTTTTTTTTTTGAGGAAGAAGATGTTTAGTTATTTCTTTAATAAATAGATTCTTCCCAGAAATAGACCAACAGCTTCTACACTGGAATCAGTTCAGCCCCACTTGTTTGAGTGGAAAACAAACAAACCATACTTGGAGACAACCCAGGCAGCCCAAAAGCAGAAAAACAGGGATTGTTTTGATTAAGATGACTGGGAAACAGAGTTTAGACTACTCACCTCTTTTAGTTTTTTAGCCCATGGTTTTTGAGCCTTTCTAAAACCGTCTTCCGCTTCCTTGGTCTCCTTAAATCCACCTATCATTTGCTTGTGAAAGGAGTCCTTCTGCCAGTTCTTTATCTTCTCGAAATCCTCATTCATTAGAGCGCTTTTTACTTCTAGGTGTAATTCGCTTACTTTTTCCGCTTCAGACATAAATGCATGCCAAGCCCTTTCAACGGTCCCATACTGTGGTCCTGAATGCAATGGAAAAAATGATATATCTGCTAAATGCACTTGCATATACACACACGTTAGAAAAACATGTTACTTTTCTTACTGTCCCCAAATTACCTTAAGCTGAACAGGAAAGGGAATGGCCAAATGACGAAGGGTTTTGTTCTTTTTGGCAGAGAAAGTGTGGAGAGATAGTGGCACAATGTACAAAATTATATAATGATTATATAATGACTATACAAAGATTATATAATGACTATGACCAATTGTAAATATCCTGCCCTCAAAGTGAAGTTGCAATTTTAGGTATCTTAGATCAGGGCTCTCCAACCTTGGCAACTTTAAGACTTGTGGACTTTAGCTCCCAGAATTCCTCAGCCAGCTTCACTGGAATTCTGGGAGTTAAAGTCCACAATTCTTAAAGTTGCCAAGGTTGGAGACCACGTCTTAGATGAAACTGTATCTGAATCCATTTCCTTCTGGCTTCCATATGCAACTTGCTTTGTTTGCCTTGATTGGTGAGCCCAGAAAGATTATGACCATATGCAGGATTCAGAAGACTATAGTTTTCTTCTTAATGTACTGGGATGATGACAAGAGTACTATGCTTATCATAAAATTCTGAGAGATCAGGCAGCAAAATATGGAAGCCTCAATATGCTCAGGGTGACTCTGTCTCACAGAGACAGAAGGTGGCCAAACACCAAAGAGTAGTTCAGTTCACAGAACACGTTAACTATGATTTGTTGAACAAGTAATGAATTAGAAGCAAAGCTCTAGAGTCAGCCACACTACCAAGGATTATCCACAACCAAAGACAAGATACAGAAGGAGGAAAGAAACAATGTACGGTAATCTACAAAATCGACTGTCACCATTGTAACCAATTCTACCTGGGACAAACATCACATCAATTAAAAACCAGGGTCCCTATATCACCAGATGTTGGGCTTGGACAACCTTGAACTACGCCGCCTATGGTTAGATTTAAGCGTAGCACACAAAATTATCTGCTGCAATGTCCTACCAGTCAATGACTACTTCAGCTCCAACCACAACAATACAAGAGCACACAACAGACACAAACTCAATGTAAACCACTTCAAACTGGATTGCAGAAAGTACAACTTCAGCAACAGAGTGGTCAATGCCTGGAATGCACTACCTGACTCTGTTGTTACATCCTCTAACCCCACCATTCCTTTAACCTTAAACTATCCACTATTGACCTCACCCCATTCCTAAGAGGTCTGTAAGGGGCGTGCATAAGTGCACAATCGTGCCTACTGTCCCTGTCCTATTGTCCCATTTATTTGTACCTATTTCCTGTATTCTTACTCATGTTTATATTTATACCTATGATCTTGTAAGAGATTGACAAATCAAATCAAATCAATAAATAAAACACCAGCTGGTGGTCAAACGCCATGATCTCAAATCCTCCTATCTCTACCCACATCGACGCCAAACAGCACCAGTTCGATTAGAGCAACACAAAAAATCACTGGCCACCCTACCACCCACCATGCTTGTGGGTTCATCGAAGCCAGGCACTCCGCAAGCAATTCCATCATGTCTATGAACTCCTCAGAATCCAAATAACTGCACAGCCATCCAGAGACAGCACTGACCCTCAACCATACCACGCAACTCCCCCCCCCCCCACAGCACCTTCCAACAACCCTGACCTAATGTAACCTATCACAGGACTCTCACTGATGACTCACAGCTGACCCATCACAACACCCTCACTTGACATACCCACACCTGAAGCCCTTATAAACAGAACAACACTGACACCCCTCAACTCCGCTGAAGATGTTGCCTAGCCTGGTAATGAAACATATGGAAACCAACCCACAAACTCAGAGGATGCACCTTCACCCTCATCCTACACCAGAGCTACAGATATTTGTCACTATTGCAAATCTTGAACTGTTTTTCCTTCTTAGGATTTCCATCCATGAATTCCTTTCTAGGCTTGCTCTTA